TCGAAGATCATCTCATAATGGCGGATCAAAAGCTCCACGATCAGGGCCTGGTAGGGGTAGTCCACCAGAGAGGACAGGGAGATCTCTGCATCGGCCTGTCGGGGCTTGATCAGTGTGGGCCCAAAAATTATGCCCAGATTACTGGCAGTCATCTTGTTTTCATCTGCCCTTTCTGACACCCTATTAAAAAGAAACATGTGATTACACACTGTGTTTTCTGATGAGGTTAGCACTGATATTCTTATTAAAACACCCAGTTCTTAGTCAGTTAAGTCAGGTTCTTATTTGGATGAAATGGACAAATAACATGACTTCCATAATTGTGCTTGTTTGTGTCTGTGTGAGAGTCAAACACCTGTGCAAGTGCTGAATAAGGAACTGCAGGGTTTTGTAGTGGGCTGAAGAAAGCTGACGCAGCAGGTCTTTGATCTTGAAGAGGACGCGCTTGAGCTCTACGCTGATCTGCGAGCTGTCGGGGGTGGGGTTTCCTCTTGACGCCTCTACCTCATCAGCAATGATACTCTGACTCTCTTTGGCCAATCCAATGAAGTCGTTATAGAATCGGAAAAGAATCAGGGGCTCTGGGAGCTGAGGGGTATAAAATTATCATTTTTATTATTAAAAAGTATGCAATCATTTTGAATTTATTTTAGAAATAAGTAAATAAATAAGGTCTGATAATCAACATTTTTAAAAATGTTTCTTAAATAATTACATTTCATAATTGCTAATAATAAATGTAGAAGCACACAAACGTAAAGTTACGTTTGACAGATACCTGTCGTAGGTAGAGTTTGAGGACGTTGCTGATATCGTGAGGGTAGAGATCCGAAAGCTCAACCAGCTCTTTGCCGTTCTCGAAGGCCTGACAAAGCTTCTCCACCCGAGATTTGGCACCATTAACACGGTAAATTCCCTTTTTTAAAAACAACAAAACATCTCCTTTCAGTCTTGCTCAGCATTTACAATTCATATCCTCCAGGAAACACATAAGACATAAAGAGGAAGTACAC